CTCCCCCCTCCCCACCCGAGGCATCTCCCCCAGTCTGGGTGAGGCTGGCAGGGGTGCCTCGGTTCCCCTCAAAATCCTTGGGGTGGAGGGTGGAGGCCTCCCTGCCACCTAGGGAGGGGTTGTCTCAGGCCGCAGCACATGCAAAGGTCCTGGGCAGGAGCTGGGTGCCCTTGGGCGGCGCCAGGGAGAAGCCTGTGGCTCTGAAAGCCCATCCTTGTGGCCCCAGCAGTCACGTGGGCACTCATCTTCTCTTCCCGTTTTAGCCACTGATGACATCGTGAAAGTGGAGGTCTGGGATGTAGTGGACAAAGGTAAAGCCCGTCTTTCTTACGCGTCCTCCCCCTTCTCATCCTGAGTCGTCCTGTAAAGAGAAGCACCCCCTCCTTCCTGCACCAGCTGGTCGGCGTGTCCTTGTCCTGTGTGGGCCCTGTCAGCCTTCAGGGTCGGCTCTGCCACCGCCACGGCGGGGTGATGTCGGCGTCCTCTCAGAGCCCGGCTAGGAGGTCTGGTTGGTGCTCACGTCGTCTAGTGTGTGGGCCCTGGGCCGGCTCCCTGCGCTGGTGGACGGGGTGTGCACAGCGGCCACCTGTCAGGTCTGCGCTGTCCGAACGCCTGCATCACCAGGACCAGGCGGCGGCGAGAACCTGCTGGAGCTGAAGGAGTGGCCTTTGCTGCACAGCTCCACCGTGTGGCCTGGTGGACGGGTCCGAGGGGCGAGGGCTCGGGGAGAAGCTGGGCAAGAGGCAGAGCTTGGGTTTTTAATAAATGAACCCGTTTCTTCTGGGGGTTCTTAGTTTTGCCTGGCCTGCCACTCTGATCCTGGGGTCCGTGGAATTGCCAGCTGTGAACAGTCCTCAGCCGTGCAGGGAGGGGGGCTGTGTTCCCCAGGGGCCACCAACTGTAGCTCCATGGGCCTTGGGCCCTGCATCCAGCTGGTCCCCCTCAGCACCGGCTCAGCCCCCTCGAGGCTGGGCTGGGACCGGGCCAGTCCAGGAGGAGGTGCCTGCCTTGGAAGCCGAGCCTGGCAGGGGCATCAGGGCCATCTCACAAGCAGCCCACTGTGCCCTGGGCCTGCCCGTGCCTTCAAGGCCAGGCCCAGCTGTCAGCAGCCTGGGGGCCTGTCTCTGGGCTGGGCTGGGCTGGGCTGGACTGGGGCAGCTGGAGTGGCCAAGAGGCCTCACTGGGGTCCTGGCCTTGTCTTGCTGTCTCTGGGGCTGCTCTGGTGCCGGTTGAGTGGGGGGGTCGGCTCTCGGAGTCTCCAGTCAGTGTGGCTCCCACTGAAGATGGGCAGGGGTGTAGGGGGAGTAGGATGTAGGGAAGGGGTGCTCCTACCTCTGGCCATCCTTAGACCCAGAGTCTACCTGGTAACTTTTGTCTCTTATAAGGAAAATGTAAAAAGCGGGGTGATGGCTTGAAGATGGAGAACGACCCCCAGGAGGTAAGCGGTGTCCTGCCCGTAGGGTCCTTGGTGGTGGGGAGGGTGGGGAGCACTCTTCAGACCCCCAGCCTGCCTGTCCCAGCTGCTCACGGGACCCTGTGCTGCCTGTGGTCACGGGGTGGCTGGGCCCCAGAGCCCCTGCCGCACGACCTGTGTGGAGTTTGAGCAACCTGAGCGGGGCTAGGGGAACTGGCCAATTTGTACCCCACCCCAGAGGCCTCGGTCCTGAAAGCACAGGACGTGCCTTCCTGCCGTGGCCTGTGTGCCGGTGGGCATGAGCGTGGCTCCCAGTGGGCTGCCATGTGGCCACCACCCCGACACAGAAAAGTTGGGCCGGCCGCAGTCTCCATCCAGGGCAGCTTCCCACTTCCTCCAGGGGCCCTGCTCCCCCTGCGCCTGCAGCCGGCCTTGGGGTGGGCAGCCTCCCCACTCCCCTTCGTGTTAGGAAGGTGAAGTGCCCACCGGGCCCCTGTGTGTGGGGGTGACCACTGCCCCCAGCACAGCAGCCGCCGCAGCCTGCATGCTCTAGAAGGTTCTCTGCGAGTGTGCTTCCTCATGCTGGGACGCGGGCCTTGCTGTGGGGCCTGGACCCCGCACTCTCCTGCTGGGGCCTGAGAGGGAGGTGCTGTGGTGGGCAGTGGAGGAGGTCCCCCCAGGCCAGGCAGAGGCACAGGCACGGCGGCCCAGAGTCTGAATGTTCCCGCCAGACTCCTTGAGGCAGTTTCCCCGCCCACACTACGTCATCTGTGTTTTCCCAAAATGGAAAGGCCTGTTCGGCGTTCCTGGGAGCCGTGGGCTCCCCCGTGGGCTCCCCGTGGGGCCCTGCCCACAGCCGCGTCGCTCATGCCTGACTCCCTCCCGTCCCAGGCAGAGTCTGAGATGGCCCTGGACGCCGAGTTCCTGGACGTGTACAAGAACTGCAACGGGGTGGTCATGATGTTCGACATCACCAAGCAGTGGTAAGAGGGTGCCCGGCTCCTCGCACCCACCCCCCAGGGACATTCCACAGGTCCAGCAGATGGCGGTTCCGCCGGCGTCACCACTAGTGCCAAGTGCTTCTTGAGGACCAGCCTTGGGCTGTGCACGGTGGCAGGCCAGCTACACAGAACCGGACCAGATGTCTTGGGTCTGCACGTGCGCTGGGCCAGCGTTGGGGTGTTCCCCTCTGTGTGGAGGCAGATGGCTCACTTGGGGGCGAGGCATGAGCCTGCACAGCCCCCAGCCTTTCCTGCAAACACCGTTCAGAATCTGGTGGAATCAAGTGGCCTTTTGTTGGGGCTCCCACGAACCCCCTTCTTTGACTTGTGCTAGGAGGACGCACAGCTAGGATCCATCTCAGCAGGGGGCTCCAGAGCAGGAGCAGCACGAGGGAGGTGCAGGGGGAGGGTGGGGTGCTGGCGCCAGTTCCCAGGGCCTCTGCCTGGAGCCGCGTGGGACTCAGTGCCTGTCCTGCCTGACGCTGGGACGTCAAGCACCCAGGGAAAGCGAGTGTCTGAGTAGCGCGCAGGGTGCCCGTCCAGGGCGGCTCCCCCGGGAGAGCTGACGGGGCGGCACCAGCAGCCTCTGGGCTTCGAGGTGCCACCGAATGGAGGTCTTCAGGATGCAGAGGGAGGGCTGACGGCGGTTTAGAGACGGCCGGGGGCGTTCACTCTGCCGCTTACTTGGCCTTGTAAGTGTTACTGTTATTACTGCGCTGGAGTGCGTGCCCGTGTGTGGATCCCGCGTCTGGCACCCAGCCCGGCTCTCCTGAGCATCGCACACGTCCCTGCAGTGCCGGCATCTCCCTCGCACGCCTGGGTGTGCTGGGTGGGCTCATCCGTCTCCCACGGTGCCCAGCGGTGACTCAGGTCCCGGGGGTCTGGTGTGCACTGACCACCAGCACCCACGTGACAGACCGCTGGGTGGGCAGGCAGTGTGTCGGAGATGTGGAATGGGTGGTGGAGCCCCAAGCACACGTGTCGCACATACCTGCGCGGAAAGCGGCAGCACGCTCCTCGGGGACATGCCAGGGAAGAAGGGGCTTCCCCGTGGGCGCTGCAGTGGCCCCTGAGCCCGGGAGTCAGGTGGCTTTGCTGTGGGCTTTGGCACGGACACTGTCACTGAAGTGTCCCGGGGCTTCGCTGAGCAGTGACCTTCAGTCCAGGAAGAGCAGCGCTGGAGAGCTGGGGCAGGCGGGCCCACCCGTGCCCGTGCCCCGGTGTGAGCCACGGGCACTGCCCGCACAGGGGGGTTCCATCGGTCCAGGGCAGGTGCTGCACGGGGCAAGGGTCTCGGGGCTGAAACTCAGGTGGGTCTCTCCTCACCTTGCCTCCGAAGGACCTTCAGCTACATCCTGCGGGAGCTCCCCAAGGTGCCGACCCACGTGCCCGTGTGCGTGCTGGGGAACTACCGCGACATGGGCGAGCACCGCGTCATCTTGCCTGACGACGTGCGTGACCTCATGGACCGCCTGGACAGGTGCGTGTCGCTGGGGAGACTGCAGGAGGCCTCGCGGAGACCTGGGGCCTGGAGCTGAGGGGATGGTGTGGGACGGGATGTGGACTCCGTGGGAAAAGCGGGGAGGGCTGAGGACCCGCGTGGCAGCTGGCTTCCTGGCACCCGGCAGGCGGGTGAGGGGTGAGCACGCCAGCCCAGTGCAGGCCGCGCTCTGTAGGCACTTGGCTAAGCGGAGCTACCGAGGCTCTAGTCTAGGCCCAGGGCCACTTGGGGGTGGTGACCTGCTGAAGGCACCCCAGGGGCCTGGGGGCAAAAGGGCAGCCTGGCCCAGGTGCAGTCCTGCCCCATGGCCGGGCACTCACTCCTCTCTGAGCAGACCACCGGGCTCCTCCTATTTCCGCTACGCCGAGTCCTCCATGAAGAACAGCTTTGGCCTCAAGTACCTTCACAAGTTCTTCAACATCCCCTTCCTGCAGCTGCAGGTGAGCCCTGCCCGCCTCCCCGTGGACGGGCGCTGACCCCTGCGCCATGCTTCTCTGGCCCTTGTGACCACCCCTCTTCACTGGGTGCCCACAGCAACCCTCTGGACCAGGCCTCAGCAAGCCTGGGGGTGCTCGGCCCCTCCCCGCTGTGCCGGGGTACAGCCCACTGCCGGGTGCCGCACCTGCTGGGTGTTATAAAGCTTTAGTTTTTATCTCTTGGGGGTGGTTTTTAGATTTACAGGGGAGTTGCCAAGATGGTGCCGAGGTCTGTGCCCTCGCTCCACTTCCCCAGTGCTGGCCCCTCACATCTCCGTGTGCTTTTGTCAACCACAGAGCCGTCCATCCCTTAACATAACACACGGCTTTGTCCACACTCGGGGACTCCTCGGTCCCACCCACACGCAGCTGTCACTTTGCTTTGGGGCCGTAGAGGTGACACCTTCTGGCCAGGAAGCGTGACGTCCACGCGGCTGGTCACCGCGTGCTGACCTAACGCCCCGAAGCCGCATTGGCTCCGTTCTCTCCAAACGGAAGTGGGACTCGCAGAGACCAGCGTCTTCCTTTCCTCTCGCCTTTGGTTTGGGAGGCCTCACGGGCCTCACAGGCTGGGTGGCTGGTGCTGTCCGCGTGGCCGGGGCAAAGGCCCTGTCATTGCACCTGTTCTTCCGCCCCTGGTGTCACTCTGTCCTTCAACTTTCTATCCAGTGTGACGCACACACAGCACCCAGAGGCAGGCAGCCCCGTGCACCCTGTACCGGCCTCCGCACGTGGTGCCACAGCACAGGCAGTACCGTGTGCAGGGCTAGCTGGGTGGCTTGTCCCTGGCACTGGCATCGTCGTCACAGCCACACCGAGCGCCTTAGGCGTCACCCTGGCCACGGGGAGGAGGTGGTGTGAACGTCCAGGTCTCTGCGTCCCCTGCTCGGCAGCTGTTGGTTCTTCAGTAGCGGCCGGGAGGCTGGAGGGGACGGTCACTGCCGCGGCGTGTCTCTCAGGTGTCACTTCCTTCCTGCAGAGAGAAACGCTGCTGCGGCAGCTGGAGACAAACCAGCTGGACATCGACGCCACGCTGGAGGAGCTGTCGGTGCAGCAGGAGACCGAGGACCAGAACTACAGCATGTACGCAGCCGGGCTGGAGGCTGGGCACGGGCAGGGCTCAGGGACGGCCGGCAGGACCACGCCTGCGGCAGGGTCAGTGCTAGCAAGACAAGGGCAGCACCGCCAGCCCAGCAGGCCCATCGGCCGGGTGACTTGTGGGTCCGAACATCCGAGTCACTTTGAGGTGAAGGTGGAGGTGCTCAGAGCTGAGCACAGGCCCGGGGGGCGGGGGGCTCTGTCGTTAATGCCACCAGTGAGATGTGTGGGGTAAACTAGGGTAAAATGGCGCTTGTCTAGAGCATGTGGGTCAGATTTCCAGTGGAAGCCACCTGGCCTCTCCCCACCAAGCTCGTTGGGGCCGGGCCCTTGGAGGTGTCCTGGCGGGACCCACAGTGGCTCTGGGCCGGGGGCACAACAGGACTGGGGGCACCAGAGAAGGCTGCTGGGGGGCCGCCCGCACAGCCCCGGGTGCAGGGC